CATTACTGAAAGTAGGAGGGAGTTTTCTCAAAAACACTAAAAATAGGACGGTCATATGATCTAACAACTCCATTTCTGAGCACATAGGTAGGCTAGATGATATCAATATCTTTATCAAAGATCTTTTTGGGGACCTGGCCCTAGCTCAGTCCTTTAAGTGGCTGCTTCCACAAAGCTGTCAGCCTCAGGTTGCTGTAGTTCGATCCCCACAACACTCCAGCCAGGCAAACCTGCCCTGAAGGCATTCAGAGAAAAAAAAAATCCTTATTCCATTTTCCGATTTGATTTGAAACTGTCTCATTGCTATTTGTTTATCAATAAAATTATGGCAAAAAAAGAAAAAGAAAAAAAAGATCTTTTCAACATAAGCTTTACTCACTAAAATTTCCTTCTAGATATTGATTTAGCCATATCCAAAAACGTTAATATGGGATTTTAACATACTTTTGCTATCACTGGTTCACAAAAATAATTTGGTTCATTGTATTGAATAATTTTCTTTGTAATTTTTCTTTGGTCTAAAATTGTTTAAATGTACATTGTGTAGGGGATAAGAGTGTGACCTTATGGTAGAGTATAAGGCCCAGATTCTGTCTTTAGTATACACACACACACACACACACACACACACACATACACACAGTTGTTTAATTTCCTAACTTGAATATCATCTAGACTTGATGATTTGTAATTTAATTCCATTTTCTCAGAGAACAAATTGTTTAAACTCCATCCCATAATCTTTCTTCATGTCCATTTTATCAGCACTTGAAAGTAATACACATCTTGGTTGTTGGCTGTAACGCAATATAATTGGTAACTACATTAATCTGACTACTAGAGTCACTTTAAATTTATGTTATTAATGGTTCATTTTGTAGCTTCGAGTGATTTTTTATTTATTTCTTTTTGTAGATTGAATTTGCTCCCTAGAGTATCTTCCCTTTAGCACTTCTTATTGTGCAGACCTGTGGGCTCTACATTTTCTAGTTTTTAACTTATATAAAAATGCATTCGTCTCACTCTTACCTTTGTAGTTTAGCTTTACTGGCTGTACAGTCCTTGATTGTCAAATTTTTTTCCTCCAGTTCTTGGAATCTGTCATTTCAGTATGTTCTGGCTTGCGAGTTTCTGATGAGATGTCTTCTGTTATGTAATCTATTTTTCTCCAATTGCTTTCATGCTTTTCTCTTTGTGACTTTCAGCAGTTGGAGTATAATGCACATAACTTTTTTTCTTTTAATCTTGCCTGACACTGGCTGAGGTTCCAAGATCTGGTACACAGTCAGAAAAGAAGCATTAAATTCACTGGTCTGGTTCCACATTGCTTTGTTTGAAGAGCAGATTTCTCCACGGCCTCTGTGACTGTTTCCATGTCCCCTGGAGATTTGCCTATACCAGTGCAGCCTAGCTGTCCACAGTGATTTTGGCAGTATACACCCAGAATTTTGATCTCACTTCCATTGTGATCCCCACTCCACTGTCAGCCTCTTTTTCATACATCTGCTCTGGCCTCTGGAACTTTTATCTGGAAAGGTTATTTTCCACAACAAAGCCATTTCCAAAGCACAGCCATGTGGACTCATATTTCCACTTTCTTGATGATATTTTTGGAAGAACAGTGGAACAAAGGCCCACACAAAATACAGGTACATGATCCCCGGTGTGCTCAGCTAGCCCCACCCCCAGGGTGCACTGAGAAGGCGATTGCTAATGGGCATGATGGCATGTGCCTGTAATCCCAGCATTTGGGAGACTGAAAACAGGATTACTATGAGCCCAATCTGCATAGACCCTGTACTAAATACATTTAAAAAATATATGTATACAGGTACATGAATGTCAAAGCAGAATTACTAATAGCAACTGAAAAATAGAAATATCCTAAATAATCTCAGCTGGTAAACAACAAAATAAAATAAAATAAAATAAAATAAGCATATATTGTAGTCATTCAATAGAATGTTAACTTGGCAATTTAAAGAATGAAGTATGGGACCAGGGAGATAGCTCAGTAGAATAAGCACTTGTCTGGCAAGTGCAAGGGCCTGAGTTCAATTCCTAGTTTGGCAAAAAAAAAAAATATGGATAACTGAGACATGAATGGATCTCAAAATATTTTTTGTCCAGTGAAAAGAAACCACCCCTAAAAGATTACATATTGCATTACCACATTTATTTGAAATTCCCTAAATATACAAATCCATAGAACACAAAACAAAAGTTAGTGATTGCCCAGGGCTAGAGACAGTGAAGGCAGGAATGAGAGCCATTGGGATTGCTCACTGATGGATAGATGCCTTCACTGGAGGAGATGAAACACTCTGATGTTAGATTATGATGATATTTTTCAACTCTATTAACACTAAAACCATTGAATATTACAAGCTGTGATATATGTTACGTCTCAATGACACTTTTTATATGTCACATATACTTATAGCTAGGAATTATCTCAGAGAGAAAACATTTGCCTAGTATGACCCTAAGCTCTATCCTCAGCAATGTAAATAAAAACATATATATGACCTCTGCATTTATGGTAGGTGAGCCAGGACCCTGTAAGGAAGTATCCTGCCACACTCGTAAACTTTGCACTGTAAATCTTCCCCCTTAAACTTCTCCAAATGGATTTATGATTAATTCAGAATTAATCAAATTTTTTTCAAGAGATTATTGGACGCTGGCTCCATATTTCCAGGATCAATTCCTGGAAATTCTAGTGTCATAGTCATCTTCTAGTAAGGGGTTAGAGAGCTAATATGCATCAAATAAGTAATGGAGTTTGGTCTTGAGACTTATCATTCTGAATCCCAGTGGGTTTCCAGACCCACACTTGGGTTTCCATACACACATGTATATATTCCCACTTTTGAAACGTGTAGCTGAGTAAGTCATTATCAGAAACTTACAGAATGCCACCATCGGTTCTGTCCCATGAACTGAGAGGTATTATGCTACAAAAACTAAAGGAAGGCCTAAGCAACAATGTTGAATTTCTAGAGGGATTATTCCTATCTTAAATGACTCTACAGATGCGCAGATAGTAATTCCTACCACATCCCCATTCAACTCATGCAATGCTACCCAGGCAGAAGTAGATGGATCTAGGGAAATGATGGTGTGTTTTCAAAAGCTTAATATAGTGGTGACTCCGAATCCTACTCCTAGTGCATGTATTGTTTCCTTGCCAAAGATCAGTGCATCTTCAGTATGCAGCTCCTGATTAGATATCTTTATCCCTATACCTGTTAGTGAAGACAGTCCGTAGTTGCCTGTCAATTGACAGAGACAGTAATGCACCTCTACAGTCCTAATATGAAAGAAATACAATTAGAAAACTGATGATAATGAGATCTGAGAGGTGTGAAGACTATCAAATAGACATAGAGTGTGAAGTATTTGTGTCCCCTATGAATGCCCAACAAAAGCAATCTCTTTCCCCCAGTAGACACATCAGTGAAGGTTTTAAATGAACTCAATGACATGGACTCTTACTCATCAAAGCCTATTTACTTGTAACAGCTATAGACATCCCCAACTCACCAACAGCAGAGACCCATGTTAAGCCCTCTGTGTGTCACCATTCACCAGGGAAACAAGCCAGACACTTGGTAGGCAGTTAATCACCTTGGAGTAATTTTATCAAGGAAAAGCCAGAAATCTGTCTCTATAAATTTTCCCTTCTGGCCCTTCATGGTTTTGCCAATCCAAGAGTTTAAATAAAGAATTCTATATTCATCATCATTACATTCCACACAGCACTTCCTCTAACTGGGGTACTCATTTCACAGCAAATGAAGTCAGTTAGTGGGCTCTTGCTCACAGGAACCCATAGCCTTACACTTTCCCCATCACTCTGCAGCTACTGGGCTGATGGAGCTGTGTGGTTGTCTTTTGAAGACTTAGTTATGGAACAAGCTAAATGCTAGCATTTAGCATCTCTCACATAGTTTCTCCAAAGTGTTTCCCAAAAGCCCAAGCTTCACAGGCTTGATTATGACTCTGCCACTACTACAAGGTGATTAAACCTGTAGGAGGTAGATCCAGGGAGAAGGTTATATCACTAATCACCAGAGACACATTCTTGGAAGGCATATTGGAATCCACGCCTCTTCTTGGCTTTTTTATTTTCTGGTACCAACATGATGAACTAAACATCCTCCTTCAGCATAATGTACTGCCTTGTTACTGGTCCAAAAGCAACAGGATCTATACTTGGACCATGGACTAAAACCTCTTAAACTATGAACCAAAGTAAACTTTTTTCTTTCAACTTGACTGGCTCAGGTATTTGGCAACAGGAGAAATGCTGATTAACATACCACTATATGCCCTTGCTCCTCCCATAGATATGATCCATGAGCAGGGGGTGGAAATGAAAATGCTTGTTCTCACTGATGTCTCAAGCGATCTACTACCAAAATTTTATTTTCCATTCTTTCGATTTTCTTGGTTTAGAGATATTACTTCCCAAGAAAAAGTGCTTTTACTCAATGACACATGAATTATTCCGTGAAAGTGAAAACAGAGACAGCTTCCTGTCCATGTTGGATTCCTTGTGTCAATAAACCGACAGAGAAGGAAGATACTTAGGAGTAATTGATCCTGGTTTATCAAGAGAAACTGGGTTTGTGACTACATTATGAGGGCAAGAAGGAATCTCTCTAAATTGCAAAAGTTCTGATGAACGCTGTCTCTACCCAAACTGATGTTGTTTATAGTCATAGGGCCTAATTTGTGAGAAACAACATGTTTTTCTGTTCATTTGTTTTGTTCATTTGACTGCTTTTGGTTTGTCTGTTTATTTTGTAATACTGGATATTGAACCCAGAGCCTCCGAACATGTTCATCTAGTTCTCCACCACTAGACTGAATATTCAGCAATTTTTTGTTTTGAGTCATGAAATTGCCCACAAGTGAAGGTTTTGCTTCACTTGTGACCCTCCTACCTCAGCCTTCACCCAAAGTTATGGAATTATAGGTATTAACCACCACACACAAATATGAAATATTTCACAAATCTGTGTGCCATTCTTACATAGGAGCCATGCTAATCTTCTCTGCATGGTTCAATTTTAGAAGGTAGTGCCAAAGGAAGCAGTCTTTCTGTAGCTACAATCCACCTATTCCAGATATCTGGTCTAGCACCATTATAAAAAACATTTTATAAATGTTTATAAATGATCACATTTACCACCCTCCTGTACGAAAGCTGTTGTTGTTGGGGTTTGCAGAGAATGTTTCTTTGTTCGATGCCTTTTTGTCTCTGAATGATTCATATCAAGAGTGCAATGTCAGTAAGTGTAAATGTAATGACTAACTTATTAAAATCCCATATTGAGGTCTTAGGTTTCTTCACTTGGTATACATCTACATTTATCAAGACCCAGTCCTAGCCCAGGTCCAGTGAGTGTGTGGAGAGCTTCCTGCTACCCTGCGCTGGCGGGACCAGTCCCAGCCCAGGCACAGCATGGGCCGGACCCTCTCCCGCCCCACCAGGCCGCCCCCCACCCCTCCCGCCAAGTAGGAATTTCTGCCG